GACTTCTATGCTTTTGTGGGTTGTATCATACAGTAAATAAGAACAACATGTGTTTTACCTGTGCAGGTAAGTCCTGTTAATGAAGCTGGTGAAGATAAAATTCCTTTAAATGGTTTTTGTAGATTGTTTTCTTCTTTCTCTTGCTCTTTAGAACTGTCTGTTGTTTGGATGGATTATTGGTTTTTACTCTGATACATCAGGCCACGCCCACACAGATTAACCCCCCCCTCCCCCTCCTTACAGCTGTCAACCTCAGAATGGGGGGAAAGGCTTACAGCTGTTTTGGATTTACCCATCGTGATGGGCTCCTGTGAGATTGGGGATTTGTTGTGTGTGTGGAATGCATCCTGGGAATAGTAGTTTCCCAGGATAACTGACTTTTTTAAAATCACAGAAAAGGTTATTTTCGAACACTGCACAAGAGCTTTTGTCTGTCAAGGGTTATGAAAAGTGTAACAGCATGTACTGTGCAAGCAAACAGAAAGCAAACCAAAGCCAGCAGAAATGCCCCTCAGAGTAGTTTCTTTTATTATGAAGGTGTACTACAAAGCAGGATATTCAGGTAACTTCAGGTTGACTCTGGGTTTTCTGTAATACAAATGTTGATTCATTTCTTGCCTTATCACCATGGTAACTTGTACTACAAACCTAACCTGCTCTGGGAGAGGTCAGGTAAAAGCACACTTATACAGTACTTTTAAATTAATGCTTATCTTCAGACACACACACACACGGTTCACTGTTTTTTCTGGAGGTAACTACTAATGGCTACCTAGAACTCAGTCTGTATGGTACACTTTTAACTTCCTTTCTAAAATAAGCCTTTATGCTGACAGTACAGCTACCAATCAGGTGCTGCCGATACCAGCCTTTTCCTTGCCTGGCAGGAGGAAAACAGGAAGACCACGGTTAAACTTTACGGATGTAGTGAAGCAGCACATGCAGAAGGTTAATGTGATGGAAGAAGGTGCAAGTGATAAGGTGAAATAGAGGCAGTTAGACAGAGGCAACTGAAAGTGAACATTTCAAAGCTCTTTTCTGCACTTATTAACAACAGAGGGCAGAAGCGAGGGGGGAGACAGGACAAAAGACCTCCTGTTGGTAATGATTTAATGCAGACAGTAGATTATTAGTAGTAAATTCATACATATTCATAAATTCAGCTGAAGTATATTATTAAAGCTGCAAGCAGCAGTGACAGTGAGAGTCCTTGCACACTCAGCACATGTTCAAGCAAGCTGTGGCATGCTGTAAGTGAGGAATGTCATGTGCTCAAGCGGATGTTTTCAGCCCAGGATGCTAATTGGGTGTTCTGTAAATCAGCTGCATAACAACTCCTATCCCCATTAGGTGGCAATGAAGAATACTGGGTACCTATATGTCACGGTGTTAAATATTATTAATGGGCCCACCAAGGAAAATATGATTTTCATAGAATAATAATTGTCACCTACTGCATATTCCCTGTTACCACTAGGTGGCGCTGTAAGTGTTGGGTTTATATGGCTCCAAGAGACTTGTTTGCATGTCTCATAACATTACATGACACCGCACAATATGAGACACACAGATGAAGCATAGTGTCAGAGCTGCTTCTGTAGAACATTTATAGATGATGCTACAGAGCCAGTTTGCAACACTAATAAATAAGTCCCGTAAAAATTTAAAGCCTATTCACCTTGAAGGTTTGTGCCAAGTCTCATGGTTTTTAAAGCTTTCCAAGCCCCTGAAAAGTAAGCTTCTGTTTCACAGTGTGCTGTTGGGTGAAAACTCATAATTTTCACAACATCAGCAAGGTCTGAGGTGTATTCAGACTGCTTTTGAGGTGGATGCAGTTAACATGGGTGAAGAACTCTAAAACATTTTGGAAAACATAATTTAATCGTACAAACTGTTTCCCAAATTGTCTTTTCCATTGCTGCTGTTCAGCAATCCAGACTTCCAACTTCAAGGACAAACCTGTTTGACGCGTAGGGGTGGCTGTAGCGCAGGAGGTAGAGCAGGTCACCTACTGATCAGAAGGTTGGTGGTTTGATCCCTGGTTTCTCCAGTCTGCATATCAAGTATCTTTGACAATGCATCCATTGGAGCGTGAATGTAGTTAACGAAAGCTCTAAGTATAGAGCAAGTGCTTGTGAGAATGAGTGTGATTGGGTGAATGTTGTATAGAGTGCTTTGAGTACTCTGGGAGAGTAGATCAGTCCATTTACACTTGAAATGTTAATTTGGACCCAGATTTTAAATCAGATCAACTGTGTAATCTTGTTGTTTTTCATCTGTTTATCAGAGTCTGAGTTGTTGCTGTTGTCAGTTTGAATATTGAAATCACCTGAAATAATACCATCAAATTTTATTGCAATTTTGGAAAGAAATTCAACCATTTCCTCCAGGGAAGAAATGTCTCAGCTCCTGGGAATGATATATACAGCAGGAGAATTCATTGCCAACCTTGGTGATGAATTGTTTTGTTTTTTTAAGGCTTTAAGACATAAGGGCCTGAATGAGGTTGAATTTTAAATCCTTCTTCTCACATACAAAGGTCTCAATGATTATTCCAATGAAGATATAATAGAACCATTTTATCCCAATAGAGCATTCTCAAAATGCAGTAATTGTGACACCTAGAGTTTCTAAAAGTAGACTGGAGGAAGATCTTCACTTATCAGGCCCCTCTCTTGTGGAACCAGTTCCCAGTTCCCAGTTCTAGGCTGGGAGACTGACACTCTTGACTTTCATGCTTAAGTTTCCTTGTGATAAAGCTTATTGTTAGGGCTTGTCCATGAATGATCCATTTTTTAAGCTTGTTAAGCTATTATATGCTCAGGTTTCTCAGCCTTATTTCATGCAATGAGCAAACATTTTAACTTCACTTCTTTTTTTTCTCTACAGTTGAATTTGCGTACCATTCATTTTCTTCATCAGTGTTCCATAGTTTGCATTTTGTTCTTGTTTTCTCTATGCTCTTCTTTTTTTCACTCCTGTGTATGCCCAGGAGAGAAAAAATATTCAGCTTATTTTACATTATTTTACCCAGTATCATGGCAAAACATTGGGTCCGTTTATATACATGCAGAAGTTGCAGTAAATTGCATTACCAGCAGAGGGGGATATTTTATTTCATGAACATGAAAATAATCAGGAAAGTGTTTAAACAGACATTATTAGCAGATTTACATGTAAATACATATTAGCCACTTAGCTTAACTGTTTCTGGCGATTAAGGACACTTTCTTGCTCACTAGCAACTTCTCACTTTTAAATATATTATCTCCCCTTGCTGGTACTACAACTTCTACATGCATATCCATTTCACACTTTGCCTCTCCAAACCATGAAAGGAACAAGTTGGACTGACGTGTGTAATCTATGCTTTGCTGTGATATTGGGTTTTGTAGCCAGGGTGTACCTCAAACATACGTTACGTACATCCAACATTGAGCTATACATGTTAGCTCAATGTTAGCCTTAAGCATTGAGGCTTATCTTCTGCCAGATAGATGTTTATCTATTGCTCACCATTAGCCGTCTATTCCACTTCACATTGTGGAGAAATTGGCTGCAGTTGAGGTGGATGTGCAGAAGGGAGACCTTGCATCTAGTCCTCTGTAAATAGAAATTAACTATACTAGAGCTAAATGGCTAAAAAATATGCTTCATATCCAGAACAATATCTTAGTTTTTGCAGTTATTTGTCCTTAACAACAAAAATATCCAAACAGAGAAATGAAACAACTTTAGTTGTTTTATTTTGAACTGGCAAACACCAACATGTTGACAGACCAGAGCTGGAAAATCTGGGGCTCATTGTCTTTGGTTCTACCTGCTGAACAACACGTGACTGGTAATCCCAAGTTTAAAAGAATTAGCAATAAATACATTTAGAATAAGACAAAGATGAAAAAAGGTTTAACATAATGTGCTTTATTTTCAGTGATATTGTGCTTAGATTAAACTTAGGTTAAGCAGGTTAGATTTTCAGTGGAAGACTCCATGAAGCTACAACTTTGTAGTTTAGGATCAGTCAAATCTAAGAAGTCATGCTTCGTCTCGGCAAGTCAACAACAACTGGAAAAAGTGAGTACATTTCTTTTTAGGTTAACATGTACACTTGATAGAAAGTAATGAACCCAGCTTACAGGTATTCCAGGGTACAAATGATAAACTAATAGAAATAATTAAAGACATTGGGCATCCTCCCAACAATTTAAATTAAGGTTTTGTAGTGAGATTGCTTAATGCTGACTTATCCTGATTCATTTTGATATGCAGTCAAAACTAACTCACAGCAAAGGTCGTAGAAACAAAATGGGAAATCCTCCTTACAGTGAGTAACTTATATGAACAACAGGTATGTGTTACCTGTACATTTTATTTTTTACTTCAAGCAATTTTCCATAATACTGACAAAAACTGAAGCTATTTTACAGAAGTGCACTGCATTCACAAAAATAAAAATAATACAGGTCTTCTGGAAATAACATCGAACCTCATACACAAAACACTTACATTCAGCTTGACTTCAGATTCCTCAGGATATCATTACCTGGGCATCCATAATAATAACCAGCATGAAAAGGCTGAGGCACAAAACACTTTGGTGGATACAGTGCTCTTCTGTAGTTATGTGGTCATGTACTAATGCAGAAGACTAAAGTGATGGATGAGTCTGCACTTTTTCATTTGGAACCCAGAATACCGTACATTGAAAGTCATTCCACACATTTTCCAGATGATGGCTAATATCCCCTTATTTGAGAGCTACCACATTAACACAGAAACATTTTGTTGCACATTCTCTGCCGGCAAAAGGTTCCATACAAACTTTTCCAGTGAGAGTTTAGAGAGCTGATCAACACAGCTAAACAGCAGGTTCTTGAATATTGTGCTGTTGCTTCTCTGGAAGACTCCTTATTGCTAATTCAGAAACCAGCAGAGCCACATTCGCACACCATTTCGACGTCTTCACACAGTCAGTGTTTACACAGTCTTTGAATGTGGCCCTAATGTTTCTCGGTCATATACTGAGTTGTGCTGTCAGTCTCTGAGTCAAGTCCTGATTGGTCTTTCTTCTGCGTCAGACCAGAATATTTCTGTGAGATCATCCTCAACTTCTCCTTGTTAGAGTACTTTCTTTGTGATTTCACTTCCTCTGACATTTGATGCCTATCCTGTGATATCACTTTGTGTGATGATGGGGAACATGAATCGTTGTCTCTGTGTTTTAATTTGCTATAACCTGTGATGTTGATGCTGGTCGACAAGCTGTGCCTCCTGCAGGGCGGCAGTGGTGTGGATGAAAATGAGGAGAGGGACAGGTGGGAGGGGGTGAGGGAGGAAGAGGAGAGGAGGAGCAGGGCCTGGGAGCCTCCCGGTGCTTCCTTGTAGAGGCCGGAGGAGCTGCAAGAAGCTGTTAATGAATCCTGAAGGGGTCTATTTAGGGGGGGACTAGAGTAGCGCTGAGGAGGTGGGGGGCATCCATAGCCCTCCTCCCCTGGTTTGTCGTCTCCTCTGTCCCTCCTCTGCTGTTCCTCTTCTCCTTTGTCCCCTCTCCAGCCCTGGTTGGTCCTGGCTCGAGCCGAGTGCCTTCTCTGCAGCGCAGGGGGTTTTGGGCGGCGCAGAGGTAAGGTGAAAGAGCTTAGCATATTCTTTGTGGTCCAGCAGGTGGAGGGGTGGGTGGGGCTAAAACTTTGGGGGAGGGAAAGTCTCTGCGAGGAAGAGGGAGGAGGAGCATCTGTTTGTTCCTGGTATATACTGAAGACTGCGTGTCCTCCTCCATCATTGCCCCAACCTTCCCCTGCTCCTTTACTGCTGCCAGGTTGCATGGTTAACAGCCCACCTCCCACCCCACTGTCTCCCACACCTTCTCCTCCCCCCTTTCTGTTTATCAGGGAGTCAGGATATGCCCTGGGTTTGGCCTCCAGGCTCTTTGATTGGATATAGTTAACAATGCTGTTGGGGGGATTGGCTGAGCAGCAGGAGGAAGTGTTGGGTTTCCGGAGGCTGTGGAGGTCAATAACAGTGGAATAAATGTCCCTCAGGTTTATGACTTTTGTCTTCTTGTCACGGTTTTCATGCAGAACAGCATTGGCACAGATGAAGAGGAAAATGCCAATCCCCATGATGAGTGGGCCAAAGACCTTCAGTCTATCAGAGTACAAATACCTGAAGAGACAATCAGAAAACAGACCAATCCTTAGGAGAGCTACTTAAACACCCTGAAGTACTTTTAGGACCATGCTGAGTTTGAGAAATTCCAAATAGACTGCTAAAGCTCACTAGTATCAACTTTAATCTCCACCAGCACAGTCAAGAAGCATTCATACAAGAAGAAATTAGCTATTGATCTAACAAAATGAAATGTTTATGATGAATGAAATAGCCATTGGTGGCATGTGTGCAGTACTGATTACAGTATTGAGCAGGGATGAAAAACCTATCGAGGATGTTAAAGAAATGCATGAACATAACAGCAGACTATACACTATGTGGACATCTGCAGAAAACCCATTCCTTGAAGCTTATAGCACAGTTTTTGTGCTGAGGCAACCTTTATATTGGGGTATATTGGGGCGATCGTGGCTCAAGAGTTGGGAGTTCGCCTTGTAATCGGAAGGTTGCCGGTTCGAGCCCCGGCTTGGACAGTCTCGGTCGTTGTGTCCTTGGGCAAGACACTTCACCCGTTGCCTACTGGTGGTGGTCAGAGGGCCCGGTGGCGCCAGTGTCCGGCAGCCTCGCCTCTGTCAGTGCACCCCAGGGTGGCTGTGGCTACAATGTAGCTGCCATCACCAGTGTGTGAATGTGTGTGTGAATGGGTGGATGACTGGATGTGTAAAGCGCTTTGGGGTCCTTAGGGACTAGTAAAGCGCTATACAAATACAGGCCATTTACCATTTATGAACTATGCCCCACCCAGCCACCGAGTGGACTGCCACTCGGTGGCTGGGTGCTTGTGGTTCCTGAGCACTTCCACTTTGCAATAATGCCATTGATTGTGGAATATGTTGGAGGAAGGTATTGAAGGAATTTCCCCAACTGGCCTGTTGGAAATGTTTCATCTTCTTACAATACTATGCTTGAATCCAGTGAATTTCGGAAACAATGTCCCCTTTTTTCACAAAGAAGATTGCTGGGTGCTTGATTTTCAATACTTGTGGCATTGGGACTGACAACACCTGAATTTAAAGGTTTGGGGCCACATCTTCTCCATATGCAACCACAATCTGCAAAGCAGTCGTGAGGCAGTGAATTGTTCCATATTTACACAGGGCTTTAGAGTAGGAACTAAACTTCTTTCAAAGCAATTTCAATTTCCTACTAATTTCTAACTGATTGCAGTGACATGGTATGAATGTTACCCTGCTATCTCATCCACAATATGAAGAGATATTTCCCCTGCAAGTCCAGAACTTCCCAAAGGGCCTTTACAGCTGTTCTGGCAGCCTCGGCTAAAGCAGACAGGCTAGTTTGTTTACCTGTCCAGAAAGTCCTGTAGAAAACCTTGTGAAAGATGTCTGGTCGTCCCATTTATGGTTTCTGTCTGGTTAAAACCATCATTGCTTCCTCCATTATCCTGCACGTCATCTGATTGCAGTACACCTTCTCTCACTTCTCGCTGGAAACAGTCAGACAGATGTTCAACTTGACTTAAGATAAGAAACACTTCATGACAAAATGTGAAAAGTGACTGCATTACAACAGTCAAAATATGAAAACCACCTTTGCCCATTAAAATACACACAGTGTCAGTGGTGTAGTGTCTCACTTGGGCATCAGCAGGTGCAGTTGTTGGGGTGTCTGAGGAGACAGAAGCCATGGCGGTGCCCTCCTGTGGCTGAGAGCTGAAGAACAATCCATCACGAGGCCAATAGCCCAGAGCTGCCATGACCACACCCACAACCAGAACCAGAATGCCAAGTGCAGCCACGAGACCCGAGACTGAACACAACTTCAGCTTCCCCTTTACCACCACTACCTCACTCCTCCTAGGGTTTGGGAGGCGGGGACATTGGTTAATTGCGTCATCGTATCACTAACCCCCAGGTGTGTCGAAAAACACACGCAGCCAGGTTACATCACCTCTGAATGCGTGTCTGTTTGTGAGTGTGCATTACCTCTTCTTCTTCTTCTTCTTCTGTGCGTGTGGTTTATGTGGTCTGGATAGCGAGTCCTGTCGGCGTGCGTTGATTCTCAGCAATCCACCTGTTGCGATCATCACCACCCACCAATCAGATGGTGGCCCAGCAGGTTAAGCCCCGCTGACCTCTATCTCAGCTGGACTGTGTCACACCAAGTTCTTGTCAGAGAGACACAGAGTGTCAGATAAAGAGATGTGTTATGATATCACACTGTGTTGTTTGGAGGGACAGACATAAACGAGTTTAATATCAGTTCTGTTCATCTGTGCACAATCGATACTGAAACTCAGCAAACAGTACAAAGTTTGGTATTCTTAAGTGAGTTTTCACCACTAATATTCTCATAGTGACAGACACGTGATGGATATTAAACCCATTTGCCTGTTCAATTTTTTATTTAAGAGTGCAGGAACTACACCTCCCAGCATGCACTACTGCTCCATAGCAGAACCTTTACACCGTGTGATTGACTCTCCTAATTCTGACTCCTACACCCAGCCATACTAATACTGAAGGCAAATACTGGCTGGTACATGTTACTGTCTAATAATGACTGATACAGGTCAGTATGAATGATACCGACTGATGAGTGCTATCAAATCAGTACTGTTCAACACCAATCAGTAACAAATCAAAACAATTTGTTCTTAATAAATGAATCTATTGTTGAAGATAAAAATCATGAACACTGTTCTTTGTAATCACTACTGCAGCAAATCAGTCACCACTTCAAAAATACAAATCAATAATCAATCAGCAAATATAACACTGATACATATGATTTAATATTCTGACTGATCTGATCACACTGCTCAAGCCTTAATGAATCACTGCTTGTTACTAATCAATAACAAAACACACATATACACAAAAGGAGAACTCACACACAGCATAGCCCTACAGTATTGATCACTGGTGTTGAATATCAATTGAGCACTACCTGTCAGTACTGATCAGGGCTGGTTAGTTCACATAAATCAGTCACGAGAGCAAAACCGACACAGATAAGTACTGATCAGAAACACTGTGCAAACACTTAGATACACGTAAAATAAAGCGTAAGGTGTGTTTGTTCTCACAGACACCGCTGCTGTCGGTTCCTGCGCTTCGTGCTGCTGCAGTCTCTAAATCTCTCCTTGTCTCATCGCCTCCTGCTATCGTCTCTCCGGCTCTTTTCTCTCTCTCCTCTGCTCCGCCCTCTCTCTGTTTCTGCAGTGATGCTAAGAGTCGTTGAATCTCCTCCCCCAAAGAACGAAAGGCACCGGGTAAGACAGGCACAGTGAGAGTGAGCGAGAGAGCACCAGAGGAACGAGTTCCAGTGTGTCTCTCGCTCACTCTCTCTCCTGCTGCTGTAATTCAGTCCATAAGTCTTTCATGGCATGAAACCTGATTAAATATCATTACAGCCAATTATAATTGTATAATTTTATACAGTAATTACAATAACAACATATGTTGCTGTGTCTGGATGAATGCATGTGTTTATGTACTTTAAACAAAGATTTTAGCAAATTCTATCAAATCAGTACTTAAATTATTTGTTACAATAAATGATCCTTATGTGCTGATAATGTTACACTACTAGAGTCTCATTGCTTCAGCACAAACCATGGTTTGTTTTCTGTTGGGTATTTTTTCAGTTTATGGTCATTGGTTCTTGATTAGAATCTGTCTCTGCTTCAGATGTTCTCTGTCAAGAGGAAATGACGTTCTTAAATTATACTACTTTTTAAAAACGTAAAGGAGCACTTTTTTCATCAGTTTTAGCACCTTTGGTGTTTGGCATCAACAGGTGCACTAGAGGGGCAACAAGTTTTCACTAGTTTTGCATTTGGCTAAGGCCAGTGTCACTACTGGTAACATGAGGCGATATGTGGACCCTACAAAGAACAACGAGGTGGAAGTTCATCCAACTCCTCCAGGGTGGCACATCAATACGTGCCATTGCCAGAAGACTTGCTGTGTCTCCTAGCACGCCTGACGCCTTAACGCCCACTCACATCCTGGGCCATTTGACCTCAGTAAATCACATGATAGGGTGGGGCTAGGCTTCACCCGAAGCCTTGGCTGATTGTGACCCGTTTTCACACCCTCTCTCGTGTGATTAGGTAGAGGATCACTAAGGGGTCCATGACCCTCTTGGGGACACTACCATATTGCTCTTAAAACTGAAGAAGCTTCTCGGATTAGAGGTGAAACGTCTTCAAGGAAACTCAAAGAAGTCCAGATGCTTTTCTTTCCCAGCTCCTTAGACTATGATGACCTGGATGACTAAGAACCTTCACAGACGCTTGTATGAGTATTTACTGATCTACTGAGAGTTTCCTAAACAACCATCTACAAGGTTAGCAGAGAATGGTCCAAAAAATAGAAAATTTCGATGTTTCATGCTTTGATGGGACTGTCGATGTGATTTGGCACTATGTAAATAAAATGGGTTATAATGCCCGTGAGATTTGCCACACTGCTTTTCCCCACTTTTGATGAGAAGGTCAGAAATTGGTTAAAAGTAAATCAGAGCTGCAGTCATATAATAAACAATAAACCCACAGTTATTCATATTTTATCATTTTTTGATGGATCTTGATCTTATTAACCTCTTCTTTCTTACACTATACATTGTATTTTTCTTTAGTTATGCGTATTTATGATAGTGTGTGCAGAGAGGCACACATCACACACACTGTCTATAACACATAAAAACATTGGCTGGTCTGAAGAGTCTTGATTCCTGCTGCGATACTGGTCGGGTCAGAATTTGAAAGCATGAACCACACACTTCGGGCACACTGGGCACAGTTTAAACATCACAGCCTACTTGGGTACCGTTGCTGACCATGCCCATCCCTCCAGCTGTCAGAAGATAATGCATCATATCACAAACCTCAAATCAATTCATGACCTCCATAGTAACCAGATCTCAATCCAATAAAGCACCTTTGATATTTGGTATAATGGGAAAATTGTATCACACATGATCCTGAAGAAAGCCTAGTGTTTTCCTGTTCTTGCTGGATACAGGATTTAAGGAGCTCTACTCCTACAAAGTCAATCAGTGAAAGATGACGAAAACGCAACTTGCTGAAATATATATATGGGTTCTTCCTTGTGCAAATGAGAGATCACAGCACACAGACCAGATCAGAAGCTTTATTGGTCTCAACAAATACTGACAAACAGCAAAGAGAAGTTAGACAAAGGCCCTAATATCAGCCCACTGTTGGAAACATGAAAATACCCGCCTGGACCTGTTACAGTGAAAACCTGAGGAAAGCTGTTGTGTAAACTAGAATTTGCAAACTCAAAGTGTGCAACAGACCACTGCAGGCCAGGATATGCTGATCTGAGTTAAGGTCTACAGCTCAGCTCCTGCTGCGCCATCACAGAGGAGAAGAGGTCAGAGAGAAGCGAGACGAACTGAAGTACAAATCTATAGATCTATGGTTACTCTAAAATAAAACTCTATACAAACACGGTAGATAACAAAACAGACTGTAACACGAGAGAATAAAATTATAAATATAGACTTTGCAATTATTCCAAAGTTAAAAAATTTCTTCTGAAAATTCAGAGTTATTGAACAGTTATTTTATTGATTGTTTTAGAGACGCAGCCAATTACACATTTCCACAACCTGACAGATCCCAGCAGAGGTGGCAGGATGATGTTAAAAGTTAACAAGATTAGTAATGTAATGAGGAGAGAGCACGTAGTACTGTGATCATGGTAGAAATCTGCTGACTGATGAGGCCTGAATGAAGACAATGGTTTTGTTCATCTCAGCATGGCGTTGCATCTCATCAAGACACTGCGAAGTCAAGAAGAAGTCTAATAAAGTTCACCCCAAAATCAAAAGGACATGGACCTTTGGTCTCTAGGGCTACGTGTGCACGCAGATGCAACTTACCTAGTTTTGGAGACCTATGCAAACATCTCCATGAATAATATCTGTTTATGTAATTTTGGGACTTTTGATGATGTATTTTGTGTAATACTATTTTAGAATGTTCATTTTTCTCTTTTTTGAAACTCTAATGCCATTCTGTAATTAGGAGAGTTTTCTCATAACACTGTAATGATGTTTAAGATTTTCTAGGAATTACAGGTTTTGATTTTTACACACTCAGCACAATGATGAGACTCGTGTTAATTATGGAAACCTTTTCAGTAAACCCGACTTTTGTCACTGTGAGACCAAAATGCAGTTGTGAATGTTTCAAATAAATGTCTGAATTTTTCTTTTCTTCATGTGAGGAATAATTTCTGTCATGTTTTTAACTCTCTTTCGTGGAACCACTGCTTTGCTAAAATCAATGCAACACTTTTTGTTCACAGAACCCTTTTCTTACAATAAAAATCTGTTGATAACTTACGTTTGCATTAGAGGACAAATAAAAGGACTTGACTCTGAGTAGCGCAGTCTGTTTAATGTTCTGATGGGGCCTTTTTTAATTTGACATGTGTGTTTTGATTTTTTTCCCTGATATCTTAACATTACAGGTAAATATGATCAAATAAAGCAACTTGGATCAGATAACGGTGAAACTACTTCCCAGGACTGATTTACAGATAAAATAACAAAACGGAGAAATCTATCTCAAGATGTTTTGATGCAGATTTTTTTTTTGAACATCTCAGACAATCAACTGAGCACAGCCATGTTTCCTGGCAGAACTGCCACTGCTGATCATACAAGTTGTAAGCCCCACTTAAAGCTTTGCCTCCAGTTTTTAGTTCACCTGAATAAAGCTGTGCCCCATCCAAAGGGCAGTTTCCCTAAGTGACGGTTGGTTGTTTTCACATGAAGTGATAATGATGACAGTAACTGAATGTCGAAATGACGTCACAGGACCTGCCAACAGAAAGGTCACTGTAACGTCAAACAAATTCAGGTGACAACAGGATGGAAAACATGGCTCGTCCGGATCAGAGAATAAGGGGTAGATGCCATGGTAATGGGGTCTATCAGGTTTGGATTTGGTCAGTTACGAGCTGCAAATGTCAAGTATTGGTATGCTCAACATGTGATTGGCTCCTATCCTTAGCATGTGATCGGCTTCTGTCCTCAGCGTGTTTGAACATCAGGATGGAATTGTAGATCTTGAGGGCAGGGCCGAGTTTGATTGACATAATCCGGATGATGTCCCGCTGGGTGAGCAGGAGGAAGGCCCGTCCATCAATTTGCTAGAACAGAAGCAGGAACAGATCAGATCATTGCCACTGTCACGTCATTAGCTCTACACCACCAGATCATCTCGTCCGGTCATCTCACCTCGTCTCTGAACTGTTTGGCCTGTTCCTCACAGCCGGGGAGAGACTCTATGAAATCTGACACCTTAGAGGGAAAGAGCGAAAAAAATCCATTTGTCATACATACAGTCAGTAAAATGTGTCCAACGCAATGTACGTTAATACAAATAAATTGAATGAGCACTCTTATTTACTATTAGTGAACTACATAGCTGCAGCATCTGTTTCGCTCTCTGACCTGTTGGACGCTCCAGTGTTGGACAGTCTCAGCGTGGACTCCTGCGACACCTGGCAACAATTTGCGGTGTTGCTCCCAGCATAGTGACAGGTCGCGGCTGGGCTGTGCTGACATGGCTGAGAGGAAGACAGACTGGTGGAGGGCGGCCTGCAGACTGGATTCTAGAGGTCAGAAACACCAGTCAATGACAACCACACGGCAAAACCTCAACAACAAAAATGACAACACCTTAGTACCAAACAGCAGTGGCTTCATAAACAAACACAACCAATAACAGTGAGAACAATTTTAAACTCCCCAAATATAGAAATCTCTATTCAGTGGTGAAAGCAACCAACAGGGGAGTGAACAGCAACATTGATTTACAATATGAAATGTTAATGTGGTGAGACGTCATCCACAAACACTGTTTTTCACAGTGAAACACTGCGAGACCAGCAGAAACCCCGCAGAGACCTGCCACATACCAAATATGAACTTATTTAATATGTGGAGAGTCAGCAGGTCTCACCACTAAACACTAAGATGGGCATCACGTGATCCTGATCAATCAGCCGATTGGTAATTGGAAAGACTCGGATGTCCTTTACAGGATTAAGCACACAGAGAACAACTAAAACAGCAGCTACCATGGTGAAATGTTTCCATAGAAACAGCCACCTTATCTGCCTGCTGTTTCCATGGAAACAGTGAAGAGAGCAATGTTGTTTCCAGAGTGTGGATGAGTTTATATGTCAGTGACCGCTTCCACCATCACAAACAGCAGCGTTGTAGTTTCACCTTTTTTATGCCACAAAACAGCTGGAACACATCCTGTGATGCTGCAGCTGCAGATATGTCACACCTCACTTTTATTTCTGAAACATATGTGTCTGCTTTCTGTCTTATATGTAAACTCATATTCAAAAAGAGGGGCTGATGCATCTGAAGCTGTGTGCTAACTGACCCTGACCTGAAGAAGTTCAACACATAAAAATCAGGTATTATCAATGACAGATTGCATTTTATACAGGCTTAGGCTGATTTTAATCTAATTTCAGGCTCATTTTAAGCTTGATTATAATAATAATAATAATAATAATAATAATAATAATAATAATAATAATAGTAATAGTAATAATAATAATAGTAATAGTAATAATAATAATAATAATAATAATAATAATAGTAATAATAATAATAATAATAATAATAATAATAATAGTAATAGTAATAGTAATAATAATAATAATAATAACAATAATAATAGACACATTTTTATATTGACTGGTTGATAATTTCTTATTAAATCACAGAACCTAGGGCAAGGATGTTGTAGAGCTTCTGTGTC